GTGGGAGAAGAGGGAGTGCGAGAGATTCAACGCAAATCCACCGTCACCTAAAAATAATCCAAGTGAAAGTCACTGTACCTTCACTACCGTGCTCTGGAGCACACGGTGGACACGTTGGGAATTGACGGTCAAACTGTCACAGCCTGTTTCGTACTCAAGTCAGGACGACAGGTGTCCCAAAAAGAACGAACTTGCTTGTGAGCCTAGCAGGTTACAGCTCAAGCACACTTTTGCACAGCCCCAGAAATATTATTAAAGCCTGCAGAACCTGTCAGAAGGGGGTGAAGTTAAACGTTTTTCAGTGTATTTGTCCCCGCCTCAGAGTATGAACTCCTGCACAGGTCCAAATGCTCAGACGGATATACTGACGGTCTTTGAAACTGATATCTACTCCAATTTTTTTAATGTTTTCTAGGTGCTTTACGCATACTCCTACTCTACCACCACAAGGTTCTCAAACTAAGTTGATTCCGAAAAGGGCTACCTACGTGTATGCAGGGCAACTTCATTTTACGTAAGTTTTAAAGGATTTCAAAATGGTACATAGTATCCCACCAAACAGCATGGACATTTCCCAGAGAAAATCAACATCCTTGGGTGGAAGATTAAGCTTCTGTGGTGAAAATCTGGATCAAGAAGCTCGACCGAAGCACCTAAATACTGTCCCTCCACCGGTACTTGAAGGTATTATCGTAAAATAGGGAATAATATCTTTTGTAGGAAATATCGACGCCATCTGAGGGTGAAAGTCAGAAATGTTTGTAAGTTTGGAAAGGATGGTGGTGGGCAATCAGTCTTTTGCATGAGAGCTTTTTGGAGAGACGAATACTGGTGTTTTCATTTCGCTAATTCATACAGCACGCCTTTTTCTTGCCAAGAGCAGGCGCTTTGAATACCAGCAGGTCATTGAAGCGTTTATCTTCCTGCTGTTTCAGGCACCTAATGTGGAAGACGATAGAAAAAAGATGCTAAAGTCGGAGAATTTAAAAATAAATCATCCAGGCGCAAATGTTTATTGCATAGAAATGAACCTAAAGGGTTCAAATACATCCGCTCAGACCCCTAGACTATTAGGATGTCATTCTTGAGTTACTTAGGATGTATTTATTCCATTCACAATAGCATTTCATCCACCCGAGTGTTTACCGTAAGAAATTGATGAACGTATAATGAACTGCAGGTCACAGTAACCTAATAGCATTCGTATATGACATATCCGTGCTTGTATTTTAAATTTGAAGAATTAACATGTGACCTTTTGGGGGCACCACTCAACACAGTAAATTCATTCTGATTGTATTTATTTATAATTGAACAATGGGCGTTCCAAATGTTGAAAATAAACTTCATCATTAATCGAAGGCTGTTAGTCATACTGGCTAACAGAAGCTACCTCCGTAAATTAATATT